CGTGCAGGGGCACCAGCACGAACTCCTCCACCGCTGCCGGAGAAGAGCCGCGAGCCCTGAGCCGCCAGGGCCTGGGAAGGGAGCAGAGACCCCCAGGGAGACCAGCCGCCGGGGGCCCAAGCCCGGCAGCCGGCCAGCAAAAGCTTCCAAATGAAAGCAGCCTTGTTTTATGCCGCCTGGCTGTCCTCGAGGCCTGAATTTCCCTGCTGTGGCAGCCTCCATCCCTCCACGCGTGTTTGGGAATTGCTTCTTGTTTCCCATTACTTCTCTGAAGTCCCCTCGGCTTTGGTAAGAAGACAGTGAGTGGGTGGGAGGAGAGACGGGTGCATGGGAGCGTGGCATGGGGAGCTGACATGGGGAGGCTGGGAGAGACGGCACGTGGAGGCAGATGGCATGCGATGGCAGCAGGCACAGGATGGGAGAAGGCACGTGATGGGAAAAGGCATGTCATGGGAGAAGGCACAAGGTGGGAGAAGGAACATGATAGGAGAAGGCACGCAATGGCAGATGGCACACGGTGGGAGATGGCACACGATGGGAGGTACCCGGGATCCCTGGCATGCATGGGTGGGAGAAGGGCCCACAGCAGTGAATGACCCCAGCAAAGTCCCTGAGCAGGGGTTCTGGCTGATCCAGGTGTGCAACTCTGCTCCTGAGCTGGGAGGTCAGCTTCGGCTCTGGCAGCCCCCGCTTAGCCCAGCGCATGGCCCTGGGCCACGCTCAGTGCTGGTGGAGGTGAAGCCACACCAAGGCCAGGAGCCAGGCCTGCTCCGAGGCCGAGCACAGCTCCCAAACACTTTGTGCGGTCTCGAGGGCTGCTGCCCACTCTGCCTGGAGGTGCTGGAGGCGCAGCAGACACTCTCTGACCCCAGATCAGCAGCAAGCGGTGCCAGCACGCTTCCAGGTGCCAACTCTGCTTACGCGTGTGGGGTGAGGAAAGCTTCACGATGAAGGGCTCCCTGCTGAAGATACCAGCCCTGCTGTTGTCATAGTAGTAGCTTTCCAGCACGGAGACCATGTCCAACCTGGGGGAGAAGAGAAGCACCATTTCCACCACAGCTGGGGCACCCAGAGGTGCTCCCCACCCTGGGGAGCTGCCAGTGGGGACAGCAGCCAACACTGTGGAGGTTGGACTCTGGCTGAAGCCCTCCCATCCTGCCAGCCCTTACTTGTAGATGAAGAGATACTGCTCCTTGTAGGTGCTCTGACCCAGCGGCTTGCTGACCAAAAAGGTGTATGGGTGCGGCAACACACTAAGAGCAAGACACAGAGAGGAAAGGGAAGGCACACCATGTCTCCTGGCTCCCACAGGGCTCTCTCTGGCCAAGGCCAAGCAGCTTGGCAAGCTGCCCCTAGGCACAGTGGCCATCCGAGCGAGAGCTGCCCTGATGCGGCAGGACGCTGGCCAGGCTCTGCCACAGGGCCCCGTTTGCACCCAGCATGCACCCACCCCCCAGCCCTGTCAGAGTCACCTGTTGAGCTGGTCCATCAGGTTCTTCACAGCGCTCAGATCAGTATCGCGGACCTCCTGCACCAAGATGATGTCATACTCCAACACGATCTAGGGGGACAAGCTCAGAACCACCCGCCTGCAGCCGGGAGCTGCTCACAAGGGCACCAACGGGAGCCTGTGCCAAGCTGCAGTGGCAGCAGGAGACCCGAGAGCACAGGAAGAAGCAGGTCCTGGGTTTCTTATGGCTTGTCAAGGGCAGGGACCCTGGGGTGATACAGGGCCCTCTCACACCCTTCTACCTCCCATCTGTTATCCCAGCAGCACCTTGTTTGCAAGCTGCTCTGAGTGAGGACCCCAGGCAGAGTCGAGCACCACTCGTCCTCAGCCAGGGGCCAAGGTTGGAGATGGGCGTGTAGGTGGGGAGGGCAAGAGCAGATGGGCAGATAGACGGATGGGTGCATGGGTGGATGTCGGTGAGTGGATGGACTGATGGACGGATGGACAGATGGCTGGATGGATAGGTGTGTGGATGAGTGGGCCAATGGATGGATGAGTGGGTGGGTGGAAGGATAGGTGGATGGACAAACGGCTGGCAGAAAGCCACTGTCTAGGTGCCTTGAGCTTGCTGTTTCCCAGAGACCAGAGAGCAGCCAGGACTACTCCTTTCACCCCGCAGCACTCACAGTGACGATGATACCCGCGATAGTCTTGTTGGACATCTTGCTGTCCCCAAACGTCCTGATGTTGAAGGCGCCGATCTTCAGCGTGGCAGCTGCAGGCAGCAGGAGAGCTGCAGCCAGTAGCGTCAGCGCCAGCTTTGCAGACCCCATCCTGAGTGCAGAGGGGCAGGAACGGGCTCAGCCCACAGGGCTGGCAGGGGAATTTGACACAGATGATGAGGGTGGCCGGGGGATTCCCACTTGCCATACTGGTTGCACTGGAAGGCACGATGGCCTCTACCAGGTGCAGCGGCCAAGGTCAGCTCCTCAGTGCCAGGGAGCTGGGGCACTGGGGTGCCCTTTGGAGGCTGGGTCAGCCCTGCCTTGCAGACCTCCCTCCTTCTCCTCAGCGGAGGACCCTGGAGTGGAGGGACCAGCTCTGCTCAGGTGTGAACCCACGAGCACCCCACTGCCATCCTGAGATGTGACTAGGGCAGGATTTGGTCCCAAGCAGAGCTCTGCAATAAAAGTGCTTTCTGCAGGTGACACACCGATGCTCTTCCACATTATTTCTCATTTGCTGTGCACTTTTTCTGCCTGTCTTCTAGGGAATCCACCCTAGGTAGTAGGCTCCTACCACCAGGAGCCCACTGATGCCATCTAGGCCAGTGCACCCTGGTCCACCCGTCTGGCTCCAACCTCAGCCAGGCAACCAGAAAGCTGTGCTTTCGGGGCTCCCCCAGTCCTAAGGGTGCCTGCCCTCCTGCTCGCCCAGCCCCACAGCCACAGTCCGCCAGGACGGGGTGGCTGCATGCTGCCCCACCGCCAAGCTCCCCGCAACCGCCTCTCTT